ATGATTTGAGACAGGATGAAAAAGAAAAACATTTTGTTTTTGGATATTTTGCTTTGCCTTTGAAAAAGTACAAATTTCTTTTTAAAACTTTATTTCAATGTAATACAAGTAAATATTAATAAAATTTTTTTAAAATTTTCTTTTATGAAAAAATAAAGCAAAATTTCATAACAGATTAAAGAATAACATTAGTTAATACACTGTACCATAATCTTAAAGGAATGGCCAGAAGTACTTGTTAGATTAGAGTACAAGTCATACACAAAAAAGTCTCTTACAAAAAAGAAACAAAAAGATAATAGCACAAAACTTTCTTTTCAATGAAGTAAGAGGACCTAGCAGTATAAATGAAACAAATTAGCATATATATTGAAATATTTTTGAAACCTCAGAATATATTATTTGGGGAATTATTAGAACTTCTTTGTACTTCCTATTTCTCTATCTTCTTTTTTTTCTTTAACATTTAATAGAAACTGTACAATAAATTTTTACTCTATTTTACATAAGATAGCCACTGTAGAAGTTTAGATAGATTAGAAGGAAAATAGACTGTTATGGAGCCCAGTCCTGTGGGATATTTTTTCAGAGTATGAAATTCAGAGTTCAGTTGGGGGAAAGGGTTCAGACTGCCAGATTAAGTAGATGTTAAAAAAAGGTAAAATGTAGGCCTTTGGGTAGATAACCAGGCACTGGGACCACCAATATTTCAAAGCCGCCGTTCTTAAACACACCCCCCATGTAGTCATCTGTGTGGATTCTCACCAATGACTTAGGAAATACCATTCCAAAGATGTCTTTCTCATTAGGCAAAGTCTCAAACATTCATTCAATCCCAGACAGGGATGTCCTCTCCTTCTTGCCCAGAATAGGAAGAAACCCACAACTTTGGGATGCTACTGACTCAATCTCTCCCAATTTTAGTCCTTATTTCCACTTTCGGTTTCTTACACCAGAGAAACAACGGAGCACTCAAACATGTTGATCCAATTTATTTCACTTAAGAGTCCATCCATTAAGCTATAAATGTTTGAAGCTCATCCTTTTTTATGGCAGAGTAGTGTTCCGTTGTATAAAAAAACACATCTTGTTTATCCACTTGTTGGTTGTTGGGCATTTGGGCTGTTTCCAAGATTTAGCAATTACGCAGTGTGCTGCTATTAACATGGGTGTGCATATATCGCTGTGGTATGATGCTTTTAATTCTTTCAGAAAGATACCAAGAAGAGGAATAGCTGAGTTGAATTGAACCTCTAGTTTTAATTTTTTGAGAAATCTCCACACTGATTTCCACAGTGGTTGCACCAGTCTACACTCCTCTACCAACAGGGTAGAAGAGTTCATTTTTCCCCACAGCCCCACCAGCATTTGTTATTGGTTGATTTCTTGATAGCAGTCATTCTTTCTGGAATGAGATGGAATCTCAGCATTGTTTTAATTTGCATTTCATGAATGACCAGTGATGTTGAATGTTTTTTCATATATTTGCTGTTTCTACTTCTTCATCTGAGAAGTGTCTTTTCATTTCAGGTGCCCATTTTTGGATTGGGTCTTTAAATTTGAGGGATCTGATTTTTTAAGTTCTTTCTAGATAATAGTCTTTTATCTGATGAATAGCTGGTAAAATTTTTTCCCATGCTCATCACTCTATTGGTGGTTTCTCTTGCTGTTCAAAAGCTTTTTAAAGAGATGAAAAAGTACAAAATTTATCATCCTTATAAAATAATTATTAAATATAGGGATTGTAGACCAGAAAATTCAAAATATGGAAAGATCACAGTCACAAAATATGTAAAATCTAAGAAGCTAGCTCTGCAGGACACTAGAATCTAAAACTTAGTAGACAAACATTATATATATTCAGAAGATACCTTTTCTTTAGAAAAGACTTCATTCCAGAGGAATGAGTATTTTAATGTTTTGGCTGACAGAAAAATAAATTCAACAAAACCAGTAAGTAATATTTCATATTAATAGAAACTATCAAAAATATATCTCTGTTGGCTTCTATTCCCTATGTATCTTAACCAAAGATCAAATTGCTTGAAAATAAACTTTTGGCTTTCATATAAGTGGTAAATGCTGAGTAGGAGGAAGCAGAGAGAAGAGAAATACTCAGTTCAAAATTTATAAATGATGCTAGAAGGATAAAGTTAACCAGGCAAGGAAGAGAGAAAAGAAAATTATCTGAAGGCAATGTGTGGAGGCAGTTTAGTATTTTGGTGGTTCTTTGGTTAAAGATCAAGAATGATTGGAATCATGCCAGCTGCAGAGAAGATGGGCCTGGTCATTGGGGCCTACAGAGTTGGTCTCTGGTCAGTAGGAACTTAGGGTTTTAAAATTTTCAGAGGACAGTCACACTTAGTATTTTTTTATTATATATTTAAAATAATTTTTGTGTAAAGTAGGAATGGATTCAAGTCTTAGGTAAGAGATCACTGGAGGCCAATGAATAAGTCAATATAAACGGTTTGACGTAAGACAGTGGTAAGAGGAAAGGAGAATGGACTCATAGATAAACACTTTCAAGATAAACTTGTCTGAATTAATATTGATTGTCTCGTAGTGGAAAGGGGAGTAGTGATGCAGAAGAAAAAGTGATATCTAGGATGGCTTTGACTTTGATGAGTGAGTGACTACATGAGTGGAATCAGGAGAAGAAATATATGGAGAAAAGAACCTTCTGACTCCAGAAAAGTATAAGATGCAGCTCATTATAAAGTCACCATTGATGTTGCTCATCTTGTTCTCTTCTTAGTGGGGATAGAGAATATGCAGCGTCTTTTTGCTATAAGTAAAGTGATTCTTCCAAGTTATTTACCCCCCCCCGGACTGTATTAGCAATTCTGTGACTTATACTTTTCTTTATGAATTTTAAAATAAGCTTACCTATATCTACAAAAAATAGCTTTGCCATGATTTTGATAGGAATTGTATCACAACTCAATTTGGAGATAATTGACATCTTTATGTTGAGCCTTCCAATCCATAAACATGGTGAATATTCCTATTTAAATCTGCATTGATCTTTTTAATCAACATTTTGTAATTTTAAACATATAAATCCTGTACATGTTTTATTGTCTTTATATTTAATGATTTTGTTTTCTTTGGTGTGGTTGTAAATGGTATTATGTTTTTAAATTTTGATTTCCACATATTTAATGTTTTATGGGTTGAGCATCCTTAATCCAAAAAGCTGAAACACAAATGCTCCCAAATCTAGTATGACATCACAAGTAGAAAATTCCACTCCTGATTTCATGTGACAAGTTGCAGTCAAAACAGATTCACAACACCCAGTTTATTTAGCATAAGGGAAAAAAAATCCCTCTTAGCTCCTTCAGATGTCATGGGCAAACTTGTCATCATGTACAAAATTATGAAATGTAATATAATTACTTTCAAGATATATGTAAGGTAGTTTTGAAACAAATGAATTCATGTTTAGACTTGGCTTCCATCTCTGGAATATCTTCTTAAATGCAAATATTCTAAAATCAGAAAAAAATTCTAAGTCTATAATACTTCTGGTCCCAAGCATTTCAGATAAGGAATATTCAGTCTGTATGTACAAATACTGTTTTTCTGGGGGGTGGGTTAGGTTAATCTTATACCCTCCAACATTGCTGAAGTTACTTGTTATTTCTAGCAAGTTTTCCTCCCATAGATTCTTTGAGATTTTTTACATAGATATTCATCCTCAAGTAATGCCAGTTTAGTTTTTTTCCTGCCTAATCTGAATATCTTTTTTTTTTCTTGTCTACTGCAGTAGTTAGAACTTGTAGTATTTTGTTAAGAGTGATGAGCAAGAACATAATCATCTCATCCCTGGACTTAAAGCATTCAGCCTTTTACTTATGAATGTGGGATTCGTTATGGCTTCTTTGTAAATGTTCTTTGTTGAATCGAGGAATTTCTTCTCAATTTCTAATTTCCTGAGAGCTTTTTTTTTAATTATTATTCTGAATTGGTACTGGATTTCATCAAATACTTTCTCAACACCCATTGATATGATGTGATTTTTCTTCTTTAGGTTGATTGGCTTCAAATGTTGAACTTGCCTTGTAATTTTGCAATAAAAACCTACCAGCAGTAATATATAATTATTTTTATATACTATTGGATTTACTGATACTTTTTTGAGAATTTTTGTGTCAAGTTTATGAGAGATACTGATATATAGTTTTCTTTTTCTTTTTCACATTGTTTGGCTTTGGTATTGTGGATCAGGACAATACTAGCTTTATACAGTGAAAGATACTTGTTCTTTTTTATTTTATGGTATAGATTTTATGAAACTGATATTAAGCCAACATTTTGGTGTAAGTTTGTAATCCTTAGTTACTCAGGAGGGTGAGGCAGGAGAGCAGCAAATTTGAGAGTAGCCCAGGCAACTGAACAAGACCTGGCTCAAAATGAAATTTTAAAAGGGCTGGAGATTTAGCTCAGTTGTATAGTGCTTGACTAGCAGGTGTGAGGCCCTGGGTTCAATCACTGGTACCACAAAAAAACTCGTGAAAATTCTTTTGTAAAAGATAAAATTTTCCAGTGGAGCTATTCTGTTCTTAAACTCTACATCGGGTGACAAACATGAACACAGCCATCTTCCCTACATAAACACAAATGCAGCCATCTTTCCCAAAATTATAAAACAAATTAAGTTTGTAAACTAAGGTACCACTGTATTATTTTATGTAGCTGAAATATACTAACAGTTTTTTTAAATTATGTGGGAAAATCTTACAGAAATATTCAAATATCCAAAAATTATAAAAACTAGCACAACCTATTTGTGTCTGCTCAAATGATCATTTCTTTTAAACATATTCTAGAGTAGTAGAAAAGAATGTGCTATACCTACCTTATTTGTGCTTTAATTACCCAGGTTTTATGATGTTAATGTATGATTTACTGTTTTGGCTGCAGAAACTTGGCTCAGTTGAGCTGTAGTACAGCAGTTTATGCTTTTGTAATGAGCTCTTTTCTGTTTTTTCCAGGGCTGGCGGACTAGGCCTCAATTTCATTGGTGCCAATGTTGTTATATTATTTGATCCTACTTGGAATCCAGCTAATGATCTTCAAGCCATTGACAGGTATAATACTGACTAAATTTAAAGTGATCTGCAAATTCTTTTAGTCTAAAAATACTCCTTAATTTTTTAGGTTGCTTATACTAGGACTAAAGAAGAGATGGGAAAGCTTCTAAGATAACCCTGATCCTCTAAATTCAAATAGCAGAACAATAATAGTCATTCTCAACCCCATTATTATAACAGAAATGACTAAAGAAAAAACAAATCTGTAATACTAAAATAAAATAGGACAGTTCACTACCGGTTGATGAGTCATTTTGTGAAATTCCTTGAAGATAGAAAACAAATAGAAGCTGTGTGATCAAGAAATGTCCACTACCAAAAGAGAAAAAACCTGAGTGATTGGTTGGTTCCTTATTAGTGTGCAGAGATTTTACATAGAAAGCTCATGAGTTCTTTGTGGAAAATCTGGCATTAAAAATTTAACACACCTTCCTTCAATCCCTAGAATCAAAAATAAATAAAATAGAATTTAAAAAAAAAGAAAAGAAATCAACAGAGAAGCTACAATCCAGAGTGTGCAGGAAAGAGAAAGAGTCTCAGCATAAGATTAGCAGCCAGAGGACATGAGAGTAGACCAGATTGTATCCTTGTGTGAAGTTAATTGATTAATGTAACTTCCCTCTCACACCTCATATTTAATGAGAGGTTATCTATAACAAGTGCTCCTTCATTGAAGCTGAAAGAATAATTCGATAATTTTATAGAAAGTGGGCAGTCTGCTGTAGAAAAGTTCCTAGAATTGACATTGGATCTAGATTATAAGTGTGTCAAACTTGAAGTGATCCCAGATCTTCATGGGACACAAAGAGAGGAAGTGGTTAGATAAACCCGTTGCCTGCATAGAAACCCCTAAACTATCTCCCCAATACAGTTCGCCTAATTCCACATTTTAATTGTAAATGTATATAAAGAAAAGCCAAAATATACAAAAATCAGTCACAAAGAAAGTTATGATATTTATAGTTGTCTAAAAAATTATTGAGTCTGTGGCTAAGACACTTAACTGCAGTTATAAAGAAAGAATTCTCTAAAATATGAAAGCTTGGTATAAAAACAAGAAATAAAATTCTATGTCATTTTAATAAAACATCAAGGTTGTGGGTAAAACCTAGAATTTTTCTTTCCTCGGAAAAAAACTAAGGTATCCTAATTAGTTTTCAAAATTTATGCTCCAAAATGTTTTTGAATGCTAGCAAAAAAATTAATGGGCAACAACTAAAATAATGAAGTAGCTGGGCATGGTGGTGTATACCTATAATCTCAACTAGCCTGGAGACTGAAGTAGGAGGCTCACCAAGCTCAAGACCAGTCTGGGCAACTTAGAGAGCCTATCTCAAAGTGAAAAAAAAAAAAAAAAAAATGAATAGGGCTGGGGATTTAGCTCAGTGGTTCCAGCGCCTGCCTCAAAAGTGCAAGGACCCAAGTTTAATCCCCGGTACCAAAAAAAAATAATAATTATTGTGGTGTAGTTCAATGGTGGAACACTCACCTAACATGTATGAGGCCCTGAGTTCAATTCTTAGTATTGCAATGGATACATACATACATACATACATAGACATATACATGTATACATATATGCATACTGTAAACACGTACATACATCTAAGTAAATAAGGTTAGTAATCACCTCATATGCTGTTTAAAAACTCAGATAATCAGGCCGGGGATTTAGCTCAGTGGTTTCATCACCTGCTGCGCAAGTGCAAGGACCCGAGTTCATCCCTGGTGCAAAAAAAAAAAAAACAAAAAACACAGATAATCAGACTTTACTTTCAAGGTACTCTAATTCTAAAGGTCTGCAATGTGACTTTATTATCTACATTTTTAAAATACTCCAGATTCTACATCAAAGGACTCTATTAACAGAATAAAAAAGGGACTCCATAGAATGAAAAAAATTTACAAATTATGTATTTGATTAGGCATTTATAGTAGCTAGAATATGTAAAGAATTCTAAAAACTCAACAATAAAAATACATCCAAATAAAAAATGGGCAAAAGACTCCAATAGACATTTCTCCAAAGATGATACGCAGGACATAAAGATACTCAACATCACTAATCATTAGGGAAATACAAGTGAAAACTACAGTGAGATGCCAGTTTACATATATTAGGATGAGTGTTAGTAAAACAACAAGTCTTGGCGATCACATGGAAAAATTGGAACCCTTATGCTTTGCTGATGGAATGTAAAATGGTGTGGCCACTATGGAAAACAATGTGATGGGTCCTCAAAAAGTGAAACATATATTATCGTATGATCCAGCAGTTTTACTGCTACTCTGGGTACCTACCCAAAAGAATTGAAATAAGGAACTTGGACAGATATTTGTTACTCACATTCATAGCACCTGTATTCATAGTAGCTGGGACATGGAGGTGTCCCAAATGCCTCCTTGCAAAAATGAATGGCTAAAGTACCAGCATATGTGTACAATGGAATATTTTTCTGCTAGAACAGATAAGCCAAACACAAAAGGATAAATAATTTTATGACTCCACCTATATGAGGTACCTGGAATAGTCAAATTCAAGAGATGGAAAATAAACTAGTTGTTAACATGGAATAGGAGGATGGAAGAATTGGGAGTTATTGTGTAATGGGTGCAAAGTTTAATTTTGGAATGCTGAAAAATGTGTAAGGGTGGATACTATAATGGTTACAAAACAATGAGAATTTACTTCATGCTGTGAACCATACCCTTAAAAGTAGTTAAAATGGTCACTCTTGTGTACATATATTTTACCACAATTTTTTTAAATGTCCAGTGTAACTGATATAATTGATCCTTATCTCCACTTTGAGAAACATTGAGAATTAAGTGTCGTACTTCTAAATGAAACTTCTAAAAGTTAAAAATGAAATATGACTAGTGCAGTTAATGATGGGGAATAGAGTCTTGGGAAGAAAAATTCAGCATAGCAAACACAAAACATAGCAATGTGTCAGAAATAAAGGCAAACAAAAATCTGAATGAATTAAACTCTTTAACAAAAAGAAAAAGCGAATGAAACAGAAAAGTTAGACTCAAGTTTATGCTTATTATGAAATATATGTAAAATACAAAAGACATGAAAGGTTGAAAATAAAATATAAAATAAATTTAATCAAAAAGGTAACAAAATTCAGTAATGAGTGGTGATATTAATATCAAAAAATTTTAATAGAATCAAGACAAAAACATTAAGCAAAACAAAGTGGGGCATAATCCGTCAAAAAAATGTACTAGTCATAACTTATCAAGCCAATACTTTCATGATAAAAAGTGGACAATCATAGTGGGAAATTTCATGTTACTTTCTCAGAAATTAACAGATCAACTAGGCAAAATAAGTAAATTATTTGAATAACAGTTATCCAGCATAGTTTAATAAATATATGTAACTTTATAACAAAAGAAAATGTTCTTTTTAAACATTTGTAAACATTTTTTAAATGATCATACATTTTCATAGAAATCACAAAAGCTAGATTCCATGACTCCAATAAATATTAAAAGCCTAGAAAATAACAATAAATGTGTAACTGATAAAATCTAGCCACATAGAAATGTTGAAGTATATTTTTATATAACTCATTTAAAAATAGAAGGGTGATTATTAATGGGATTGTGAACTAGGAAACTTTCAAGTTCTCGTTCCCTCCTGGTAGCATTAGAAAAGCAACTGGAGACTGACCAAAATAACTTCATAGAAACTCTATAAACCAGTCAGAGTTCTCCAATGACCAAGTGAACTCCCCAAGGTCAAACCATGGGAAATTCAGGCCATTCAAAACCATGGGAAGTTTTATAATGCTTTTACTCATCCTTGTCCCACCCTTCCATGTGCATTACAGCTGAGAGGAGGTGGCCTATTCTTGGTGCCTCCCTCAGGCAGAAAGCACAGGCAGAATTCCTGTACAACCTTTGACCTATCTGTGAACTTCCCAAGGGACTGATTTCTGTCTTACGGGACCCAGCACAAAGGTAGAAATGGTGGCATTACTTGGATCCTGGGCTGGTAGACACTGTCAAAGTCAGTAGTGGACTCTGTGAAACACGAAAGCTTCAGTAGAGCTGTATAGCTTTGGACACCTGGGCAAGGGCTAGGGAAAAGGAATGTAATAGAACACGTAAAGCCTTAAGAATCTGGTGTGAATCTCTTTGGGAGGACATTTAAAAGCAATCAGGTATATAGGGAACTCTGAATGCGCGCACACACACACACACACACACACACACACACACACACGCACGCACATCCCAGCAGGATATATACCCAGAAGTGAACTGAGACAATTTGAAGCCTCCAGCCTAAGCTACTACTAAGGTTTTAGGATTCACCCTTGTAATTGGTGAAGGTCTTTTACCTTAGTCTGCATAAACTGGAAGAGGTGGCTGTTTTTTGAAATAGTAATTATCAACAAAGACCACATTGGGGGTAGTAGACTTATGGAATCTAGCATTTATAATGTATATTAAAAGTTATAGGACCACATTTGGGTGGATTAGATTTATGAGATCTAGCGTTTAAGATATATATTAAAATTACAGTCATTTTAAAAAATCCTTTACAAATATTTGACAATAAGGAGTATTTTCTGTTACAAAGTTGTAACAGAAAAATGTGACCTATTTAAGGTAACAAAATCTCTAGAAACTATCCTTGAAGAAATCAGACAGTGGACTTATGAAACAGAATTTAAAACAGCTTTCTTAAGTATTCTTAAGAGCTAAAGGAAAACATGGAGAAAGAACTAAAAGGAAATCAGGAAAAGGATATATGAGCAAAATGAGAATATTAGAGAGTGGAAGGAAATGAGGAAGGAAGGAAGAAAGGGAAGGGGACTGTGAATACAGAAATTTTGAATCTGATGTTTAACTTTGGATTTGAAAAATTCACTAGAGTGGTTTAACCCAGACTCAAATAGGCAGAAGAAATAATCAGCAAGCCCAAAGACTGATTATTTGAAATTATCAAGTCTGAAAATAAAAAAAGAAAGAAAACT